TTTATACGTCGAATTTCAGTCGCATCGAATGCAATTCAAACAATAGATAATGAAGCTTAGGTGGTTTATCATCTCATTGAAGATGAAGGTTTATCATCTCATTTTCTTAATTGCATTCGACGCGACCAAAATTCGACGTACAAAACAGGTCTAAGATGCATCATCCTTTTAACGCATAATCAGTCTCAGTAAACACAAAATGAACTATCCAGACGGTCATGCCTCATCAATTTCCTCCACGTTTCAAATGGTCCACCCTTAATACTTGATAAAATCTAAAGCTTGATAAAATCGGCGAGGATTATTTTGATAATTTTGAGTCTAATAGTCTGATATTATTTATTTTGATAATTTTGAGTCTCTAGATCGTCGGAAATGGCATTCTCAGAGTCTTCTTCTGCTTCTTTCGTTAGTCCCTTTCATTATGATTTGCGAGTCTGTATTATGTGAGTTCGTGAGTCAGGATTGGTTATTATTAATTGACTGATCAGCGCAATTTTTAATTTAATTATTTTCGGGAGGCTCCCCCCCCCCCCGTTTCCTAGTGTGAGTAAATAGATTATTTCAATCAACTTTATCCTCTGAACTTTATCTTAGGAAAGTCTTGCATCATTTGTACATTTATGCAACGACGGTATTTATGGTTTAATTTCTTCTTCGGAATTTTCACGACAAGTTTCAACGTTTTTCCACAACAAAAAGAGAGTTCTCGAGTATTTTTCATATTTTCTTTTATGCTCTGAATAAATATACATCATTTATAACCCAACCCAAAAATAAATACGCTTTACAATGTATCCCCTTAAATGCCTGCTACCTGTTATCAGAATTCCAAAAATATCAGAATTGATATTGTGTACATAATGATATTAATTAATGGAGTATCTCCATTGAAATATTAAATGAATGAACAATCGAACCTCCAATTAACGGAGACTCTACCCAGCGGACAATTCTAATTACCGGTAATTTAAAACGTTGCCCGTTCGTGTCTGTTAATTATGGAGGTTTAACGGTAATTCATTAACTTCTAATAATGTTCTATTAACTTGAACGCAAGTTCTAATGATAATTTGTGAGAATCACGCTGCGCGCACGATTGTGCTCAGTGAGACCCACCTATAAAGCAATTTATAAAATATAATACGCGACAAAAGAAATATAAGCAATCTAACACGCTAAATGTCATTTCTATAAATTTTTATCAGAAATTCTGTTTTCTTCGTATTTCAAAATATCCGTCACGACTTCTCTCCACTCCAAAGATTCTGAATTTCCAGAAAACCCATCACCATTGTGTTGCTGTGGAATTTCTAAGAACTTCGAGTTCTCGTAATTAAGATGATCATTACCATTCCAATTAGCATTAGAAGTGCAATTAGAATCCCTGTTTTTATACTCAAGCTCGTTCGGAGTATTGTGGAATAAACTCGTGGGACGTAACGGGGTCCGTGTGACATCACCGTCTATAAAACCCTCATCACAAGTGCAGGCTTCACCAGTACAATGGATACATCTATTTATCCCACCATTTGATACCCCTAACGGTCCATTATTCACCCCATTCGGTGTCCCTAAAGTTCCTCCATTCACCTCTGATGTACCCGAAGATCCCTCCTTCAACACAGAAGTCCTGTTCGATCCCCTTGGTTTCCCGAATGTGGTGACAGGCATGGGAATCCGGGAGGGTGAGCCATAATTTTTCATGAGGGGGGAGTTCGTTGGTGAATTTTGTAGCATGTCAGCTTGTCTTCTTGCTCCACGACCTAAATGGGAAAACATGATGCTATTTATTAATGATGGATTTACTGTAAAAATCTTAGATAATACCCAATGGCAAAAAGGGAAAAGCCCTGGGAACGAGGTTGGATAATACCGATAAACGAGCAATTTTATAAAGCATGAAAAAATCACTATCAGGTAGATGGCGCTGTCTGGCCTTCGCACATTTTGACACGCCCCCCCCCCCCCGATGTAAACAAAAAATGCGCAAAAAAATTCACTTGCAAACTTACCTTTAGTGATGGTGTCTGCTGAAAAAGATCTCACGAACATCAAATTATTATCATTCAAGTCCTTTCTCAAAGCACTTTTCTTGTGAGCAGTCTCGTCATACTCGGCTTCTAGTTTTCTCCGGGCCGGAGCAGGCGAAACTGCCGATCTACGACGAATTTCAGGCGACCGTTTACCGACGCTCTTCCGACGCATTCCGGCCGACTTCGGTCTACTAGTCCGAAGATTCTCCGACGAAGGTTCCCGAGAGAGATTCCCGTTGCCTCGTCGTTTCGCGACGGAACTCGGGCTATCAATTCCTCGGCGTCTGCTTCGACTTAAAATTGCATCGCTCGTCTTAGACCTGCTAAATGTCAGATCAGCATGTTGAAGGCTAGCCCGCAATGCCTGAGTATTCTTGGCGGGTGTTTTGCCTGAAAGTTGTTTCGTCTTGACTGACCCAATCCCACTGTCTCTTACGTCATTCAAACTGTTATGTCTTGATCCTAAACCCTTGCCTCCCCCGGTTTGTCTTGAAGGTGTGCTGTTTTTTCTCTTTGCTGTTGTCTTTGCCGGGGGGTCAGGTTGCTTCTTTGCTTCAGGTAATGGCGAGGCCTGCTCAGTGACAACTATCTCCGGTCGGCTACCCGACTCTCCAAACACACATACCATGCCCTATAAAGAAGACTTTGTTAAAAGGTTACAATGTTTCCACAGTTCACAATTTTAAAATACATGTTTATCATGTTCGAATCTGCTTGGGTTGGTCCTCGTTTACAAATCCTTTCCAGAGACGAACCATCGTTTATAAGGCCTGTTTTAAGGCTAGTTTCCACTCAGGAAAATTATCCGTGGATTGGAACGGACTAGAAAATTTTATCTTTGTGTTAAAATCATTAGTTCCAACCCAGAGATAATTTTGCTGAGTGGAAATTAGCCTTTATACGTCGAATTTCAGTCGCATCGAATGCAATTCAAACAATAGATAATGAAGCTTAGGTGGTTTATCATCTCATTGAAGATGAAGGTTTATCATCTCATTTTCTTAATTGCATTCGACGCGACCAAAATTCGACGTACAAAACAGGCTAAGATGCATCATCCTTTTAACGCATATATCTCAGTAAACACAAAATGAACTATCCAGACGGCATGCCTCATCAATTTCCTGATAGTTAAAGTCCGGATGAAACGAATATGAGAGTGCATGAGAGTTGTCACGCGACCTTGGTTAGCTGTTCTTAATGTTTTCCCAACACTATCATGTATTCTATTGAAGTTAAAACATAGTTGGAACATTCATCAAACCTTTATTTTGTTAATCTAGAGCTTGAAATGTCCCCTGTAGCAATGCGTGACTGACAAACTCTCATCCACACATGGATAGATGATCGTAATCGTAGATCATCCGCAGGCGCTTATATATATATAAGCGCCATGATCAAGCTAATCCGCTTTACTAGTGAAAACAGAAGACGAACTATCCAGAACGAATTAACTAGAATAGCGTGATCTACTGTATACTAGCTGGCAATGGTTCTGGAACAAATCATCCATGATATTTTCCTGATCTTTCGTCTAATGCCTCATTTGTAAACATAGACAGATCACCCGTCTAGGCTCGTCAACAAAGAGGAATTTGCATGCGCAGTTCGTCTTCATGGTGTAAAGACGGATAATGCGATGTCATGACGAAGTGAAAATCGTGCCAGTAAGAAGATTAGGCTCGGGTTCAAACGTCGTTCTTTTCACGCGCCGAACGTAATACATTTCGATACGACACTAGTGTCAAATCAAACGGCAATTGCTAGATAGTATACTTAAGGTGTCCGTTTTTATATCAATTTTTAAAATAAGTTAGGGTTAGGTTAGGGTTAGTATTAGGGTTTAGTTTTGCGTTACAGGTAAACTACGTGAAGCGTTCCTCTTTTGACTTCGTAACTCATTTGGAATTTTCCTCATTAGCTTTGCAAATTTGAAAAACTCTTTGCAAATCCCTTGAGGGAATTTGCAATGTTCCTATCGGCTGTTGCAATATTCCAAACTTCATTTTAAATTTTCCTAACTTCCTGTTTTAATTTCCTAACTTCCTGTTCTGTTCTGAGCGTTGTTATTGGTCGATTATTTTTGTTAGCCAATTGCAACGCCCAGAACAGAGCAGGAAGTTAGGAACTTGTAACAGGAAGTTAAGAACTTCTAACAGGAACTGAGGAAAATTTTTTTGGCTTTTAGCAACATTGCAAATTCCCTCAAGGGATTTGCAAGGGAGTTTTTTTAAATTGCAAAAGTAATGAGGAAAATTGCAATCAATTTAGAAACTCAAAAGAGGAACGCTTCACGTAGTTTACCTTTAAGATAGTTTTTTCTACGTTATAAAAACGGAAACCTTATTTTGAAGTGTACTATCTAGCAATCACCCAAATCAAACATCGACTACATAACGCTAACCAACTTTTTCGTGGCACACTTTTTCGCTGACCAATCACATTGCCAAGATTTCGCACAAATTCGCCTAGTGGAAAATGGGCTTTACTCTCCTACCTGTAAAACATTGTCGTTGTTATTATTGACGGGTGAAAGGCGTGATATCGAGGAGGTACTAGAGCCACTATCGCTACTGGCAACGCTGGTATTACTGGCAGAGTGGAGTAAGGTAGTTTCTTTATCATGATGGTGATGATTTGGTGTTTGGCATTTGGAACGTTGACGTCCTCCACTGCAAGATACACCTGAACGCCCTGGGGAAAAAATGTATTTTAGTTTAAGAAGCTGACCACATCTGTTACTTCATAAAACTAGCAGAAATCCACCAATATAGGCGAGTTTTACTAAGCGCAATCGTGAATCAGATGGTGGTCAACCCGTGCCTGCAGTTTTCAGAATGGGAAAATAATGATTTTCATTATCCGTAGTACACACGTAAAAACGCACAAGTTGTAACAAACCTGCAAGCAGACTTGTAGCAATGCTGTTCCAACAACTTGTCAACAGGATGTATTCGCACTGCTTGTTCCCAGCTTGTTGACAGGTTGTCAACGGTTTGTTCACAACTTGCTACAAGATTTACATGTTGCAAGTTGTTCCAAGAACTTGCTATCGTCCTGCTATTCAACAATTTGTCACCAAGTTGTGAGTGACAACCTTGTAGCAACTTGATAAAATAACAGCATTGTTACAACTTGTTGACAAACTTGCTACAAGCGACAAGCCTGTTGTCTCACATCTTGTAGCAAGTCTGCCGACAAGCCGTCAACAAGTTGTGTTCGCACTGCTTGTCCCAAGTTGTCAACAAGTTTGGAACAAGCTGTTAACATCTTGTAACAACCTTGTTGAAATTATCAGACTTGTTGCAAAATTGCTCCAACAAGTCCGATACAGTCATGATATAACAATATTGTTACAACCTTGTGTGATCAACCTTGTAACATTCTTGTTATATCATGATTGTATCAGACTTGTTAAAACAACCTTGTAAGAAGTCTGATACAGTCAATGCCATCAAGCTTGTTATCAGACTTGTTATAAGGTTGTTGTAACAAGTCTGATACAGTCATGATATAACAAGAATGTTACAAGGTTGACGAAAACAATATTGTTTTATCATGACTGTATCAGACTTGTTGGAACAACCTTGCAACAAGTCTGACAACAATATCAACAAAATTGACGAAAACAAGGTTGTAACAATATTGTTATATCATGACTGTATCGGACTTGTTGGAATAACCTTGCAACAAGTCTGATAATATCAACAAGTTTGTTACAAGTTGTTAACAGCTTGTTCCAAACTTGTTGTCAACTTGGAACAAGCAGTGCGAACACAACTTGTTGACGGCTTGTATGGGCAGACTTGCTATAAGATGCGAGATTTTTGCGTGTGTAGTTAGAGGCAAACAGAGGCAAATAAATAGAGGGATTTACGTCCGTATTCTAAAAGCTCACTCACACTCACACTCAATGAGTGGAGGTTCAATCTGAGCTTCTCTTGAGTGTCAATGCTGTTTTTGAATAGCTGGAGGGCGAGTATTCACATAGTAAGGTAAGACACTAACCCTCCAGCTATTCAAAAACAGCATTAACACTCAAGAGAAGCTTAGATTGAACCTCCACTCATTGAGTGTGAGTGAGCTTTTAGAATACGGGCGTTAGTCTAATTTCCTTGCTCCTACAAGGGCAGACATTTCTGAAATTGACGACCATCTGCTACCGTGTAACGCTTAAAAAAAACCCAGCCAATATGCATGCGTAATATATATATATATATATATATATATATATATATATTTCGGAATGTGAAATTCAACTAATTTAAAAACATTAAAAAATTAAAAACTAAGTTCATTTACTCGAGTTTCACGCCTATATTGGCGATCATCAGACTACCTGTCCGTAT